TTTTTTTTTTATCAGCAAAGAAAATGGAAAACTTTATTGATGGAACAAACAAGTACAAGCCTCAATTTACATTAATAAAGGAGGGAAGTGCAAAAAGTATCATAGCTATCACTCCACAATCCCAACTAGGTTAACACCAAGGAGGAAGCACAATCATATGCCAGCACTAAACCCATGGATTGGCGAGACACCAATCCAAAATAGAGACACAAAATGAAAAAACAGAAATAAAAACCACCTAGCCACACAGCAAGAGCAACCTTCCAAATCTGCAAACGCCTCCCCCAGCAAACTCTTGCAACAGCTTCTACACAATACACTAGCAAACTCCTCCAGCTGCGTATAGACAACTTCTAACCTGCGTATACACTCTGTAACACCATGACTGATCATGGACAATTAGCAATTGGATGTACCCAAAAAACATGCTCAAAGTATTCTAAATATTGGGCCCCGAATCACCGGAAATTGTAAAGATCCACAAGAGCAAATGAGCCCTAATTCTAGGGCTTCTCGTAGCAGGAATCATATGAATAAATTAAATATATAAATCAACTTGGATATAGAGTATTGAATACTCATCTCCTTTTTAGGACTCCAAAGTTCAAGTCAAACATGTGACCTATTCTTTGAATTTCTTTTTGTACACAATTTGTTATATGCTTTAAAAAAATCTTAGAATTTTCAAAATATCAGTTGAAAAAGATATATGTCAAACCCATGATTTTTTTTTCTTTGTATTAATTTGGAAATTAATATAAAAAAAAAAAAAAGATAAAGAAGAAACAATTGGAAAATCTAATCAAAGAAGAAACAATTGAAAAATCTAATCAGACACTAACCATCACTACTACTATCAAGTTTAGCTAAGGGTGAAACACCAATAAATCCCAAAGTTTGATATGTTAAACCATTTAATCCTACCTTCTTCTTTTTTTTATATAGCTTGAAAAGTCCTACGTGAATGTAATTATGTTAAACCCCTTTAACTTAGCACTAGTTTTGTATTTGGCAATGGGCAGTTATGGGTTTTAAGTGATGTTGTAGTTACCAAAATGTCCAAAAGCATACTAAAGCATTTTTTGGTTTTCCCTCCATCCCAAAACTTTTGGTTTCCAGCGAAATGTTAGTGATTGTATTCTCATTATGTGTGATTGAGGCATAGCATAAGGATTGTCAATGTTGATCGGCGAATATTCATCCTTCAAATAACGTTGCATAGCAGCCACCAAAACCCTAGGAAAAAAAAAAAAAAAACCTTCAAGCACATTTGCGAAAGCGATCGACGTGGGCACCAGTGGCGGAGGCACGTAGGGCCCAAGGGGGTCACGTGCTCCCCTGGGTTTTGGGGTTATTTTTTTATTTTTTATTTTTTTTATAAACATAAAGAAAATATTTTAAATAAAAAAATTTATAAAAATATTATTTAAAGTGAAATGTCAATGCCATTTTTAAAATTATGAGAACAATAATGGTTATTTTGATTAAAAACAAAGAGATTATGATAAGTCATATTATTATTTATGAAAATTTTAATATAATGGTGATGTCTACCAAGAAATGTTAGCAGAGTCCCAACAACAACAGGTCATGTTTTTAGTTAAAAATGGAATTGGGGATCTGATTTGCTCCTCTATCAAGTGTGAAATTGGCAAAAACAGAGAACTGTTACACACGAATCATGAATGCTTAATAAACTTTCATGCTTCCTGTATATATATATATAGATGATACAGATCTGTATATATATATACAGAGAGAGAGAGAGAGAGAAAGAGAGAGAGAGAGAGCATACCTATCGTCCTCGCCACAGCACCACCGCACCACCGTTCGCCGTTCGTAGGGATTTGGGGGAAAGAAACTGGTTTCAAACATTTAGGGATTTGGATCATGTTTTGATTGAGCGGCAAGATGAATAAGGAAGAGCAGGGGCAAAAAAAATTTCACTTTTTGCGACGGTAGGTTTTACACCGTCGCAAATGTCAAGTATTTTGTTCATAAAACGACGCCATTTAAATTAGACTTTTTTGCGACGGACAATTGCCGTCGCAATATGTAAACTATTTGCGACAACAAACGTATGTCGTCTCAAAACATTTTTTTGGCGACGGTAAAAACATCCGTCGCTAATACTGATGCATTTATTCCCCTCTCCGCGCATTTTTTATTACCGACGGTGACAAACCCGTCGCTAAAGCCTTTATTTGCGACGGTGTAAGCTGCCGTCGCAAAAAACCATTTTTTGCGACGGGACAAGCGCCGTCGCTAATGCTTCTGTGTTTTTTATCCCCTTTTCTTGTAGTGAGAGGGCGATGTTAATTGGGATGATTGCATGAACCCATAATGTTAATGTGGTGGGTGTTAGAGGAACTCCGTGATGTGATAATATGAATGAAGTTGGGTTTAATGGTTGCTAATGTTGTGGCCCTTTTTATGATGTAGTTGTGTTATAATGTGGATTGATGTCTTAATTTGATTAAGGCGGTGTGGTGGTCATGTTGTTTTGTGATGTTCAAGTATTGTGTTTGTTGCTGATGTTGATGATGTTGATCAAGAACACCCAGATGGAATTTAAGTTCAAATCTGAATATGATGTTGATTATAGGATTTCCAGAGAACAATCAAGAACACCTAGATTGTAACTTGGGCTAAAACAAAATCTCATCAAAGAAAATCAAAAACCAAAATTGAATTTGAATGTGAATTTGAATTTGAATTTGAAAAAAATGATCAAAGTTCAGAACTTTTTATGCAAAAACCCTAACAAAAGTTGAATGAAAAAAATGTATATATGTGGGTTAGGACTGCAAAGAGAAACAAAAAGGGAATTGGAAAGCCTAGCCACCGTATACAAAACCCTAATGTTGAAGAAAAACCAGTAACGTCAAGGCCAAAGTGAAGTTCCAAAACTCATGAAAACGGCTAAAACCCTAACATATATAGTGTTTAAGATATGTTGATGATGTTGCTGATGTTGATGATGTTGTTTTGTGATGTTCCAATACTGTGGCTATGTTGTTTTGTAATGTCCCAAAATATAACATTATAAATGAAACAACAAACTGGAAATGGTGAAACAACTTCCAAAAGAGTCCACGAAATCCCCTCCTACAAAATAGTGTTGTTACAACATCCCTTAAACACACACCATAACAAAATAAAAATGAAATCACAATATGGGCAAAAATGTAAAATCCATACACAATATATCAAAAATATATATCATACCAAAAATAAAAATGATTAAATAGTTTAAGAAAAAAACACTCGGGACTAACTAAAGCAACATTTACCAAAATGGGATTTATGAGTAATGTTTCCTTTAGCTAATTGGGAACAAAAAACAAGAAGATTATACAAATGGGTTATAGAAAGAAAACCAAAAAAAACAAAATCAAATTGCTGAAAATGTTTCTTATCATGATTCCAAGAAAAGGGTAGAGGGAGAGGACTAACTGAGAACATTTTCTTCTAGAATAAGCCCAAAAATGTCAAATATGGTCCGATTAAGTTTTCCTACTATAAGAGTAGGTATTGATCCTCCATAAAAGATTTAACAAATTATAATCCTTCTAAAGAAAATTCATAATAAAGCAATGAAAGCTAACAAAAGCATAAAGATAAAAAAGGTAGTTGAAAACAGTTTTTGTAGATGCTCACTGACCCTAAATGACTAGAAATCTAGAAAGTAAGAATAGAAATAGAATTTTCACAAAATAATGTGGAAAAACTGAGTAAGTTTTAGGAAAAAGATATCAGAACCGGCGAATGTCAGCCAAATATTAACAAAACTATTTTAGATTGCTTATTGACTGTATGAATCTGCACAATGACCATCGAAGAGGATCATTATTGTCTAGCCAGAAAGGGGGAAAAAGGGAAAAAGAAAAAGAAAACCACAAAGAAAGTAAAAGGAGGATAAAGGTTCAAAATTATTTTTCCATATAAGGTGTTACATCTTAGTATGCCCTGCCACATCTTAATAAATAGTTTCAAAAGGCAAAAGAAAATACAAGCAATGATCAAAATAGCACTCTAAATGTCTTATTCTCATTGTCTGTTGGGCACCCTTACTGTAGTTTTCATTTGGTTTTGTCTCTTTTTTATTCTTTAACTGATAAATTTTCTATAGCCATGATTGATAGAACTATGGGAAAGTGATTATAGATTATAACTTAACAGATTATAACTTATAGCTGTAAGCATAAGCTGATAACATGTTTGGTGTAGCTATGGGATTATAGATTTAAGCAGCAGAGTTGTGTTTGGTAAATAAGCTGTAAAATAGTTTTTTGCTGTGTAATTGTCATTTTTGCCCTTATGAACAGGAAAATTGTAATTTTGTCATTTTCTTCTCTTTAAATTTTGAAACAGTTATTTCATTAATGGAAGTTGATTAATTAGTACCTAATTTGGTACATTTTTACATTACCTCAAAAAAAAAATTTATTTTTTTATTTAAATTTTTTTTTTTTTGTTAATATCATTTTTACACCTTTTTTATTTAACCTATTCTATATAATTGAATTTTTTTATTGGCAAAAACAGAATAGTTTATTGATTATAATAAAATTTATAAAAAAAACATTACAATCACCATATTAAGAAGGAAAGAAAAACAAATATGATTAAGAGAGCAGCTATCAAAATTTTGTGATTGAGCTTGAGGAGATATAGATTCCAACACTAGAAGAAGAATCCAATGCTTTGATTTGAGATGAGTAATGCTTGTATGCTACTGATATATTAGACAAGAAAATCCAATGCTTTGATTTGAGATGAGTAATGCTAGAAACAGAAAACGAAGTGAAGCAAGATTTTTCATTTCTTTTATGTTTTACTTCCATAAATGGAAAGTAAAATATTTTGAATCAGTGTGCGACAACAACAAATCATACCAGAAGTAGAGTTGGAGATATCAGTCTTCCTTTTCTATTCACAAATCAAAACTACTACTACTACTACTTGTGAGCAGCACATTTAAACAACACAAATGGATATGATTTTGAACAATTAATAACAATGTAAGAACATTTAAAACTGAAATTTTATTAATGTATAAAGATTAAAGTTATACATACAGAGAGGCCAAGGTGATAAAAATGCATCATTGCGGACTTGAGTATATCCCAACTAGGTTGGCACATACCGAGCCAAGCCAATCATGTGCAATCACCAAGGCAGAGAAAACCCAAACATGGAGTTAATAGCTTAATTAGAAATTCAACTGAAACAAAAAAAAAAAAACCAGAATGTCTTGCTGTTATGTAACTCATCCAATTCATAGTTCCAAATCTAAATCTTTTACCTAGCTAGTGTCAAGCAAGAAAGGGTCTTCTTCTTGACCTTTCATCAGCTGTTCCATAAACTCTTTCGACCCAATTCCCAACCTTTCATCACATAATCCATTTTCTTCAGCAGAATTTTTGTCCAGTCTCTTTGACAAATCCGTGCACTCAATCACAGGGTCCTGAACATTTGAAGTCGAAGGAAGATCCAGAAAATTGATTAATTCATTCATATCAATGCTTAAATTGCTCTCCGCGGATTGAATATCATCTTCATATCTCACAGTAGGCAACAACGATTCGACTTCAAAACCACTTGTCATCAGCGTAAATCTTTCAATGGTGCTGGTAGTTGCTTGTTGCATTATTTGTTCGGAATTCAAGTAGCGGTATTCACCCAATTGGTCAATAAGAACTGGCTCGGCTTGAAAAACCTCGCCATCTCCTAATCTTGCCCTGTTTCGTCCTTGATCTTTCCACTTGATTTCGCATATGACTAAATCTTTGTACTGCACCAAAAAATAATTGACAGAAGCTAGTTAGAGGAAGTTCAATGACATATAAGGACCGAGAATTTTGAAAAAATAAAATAAACAATGGATAATCATCATACAAAACTTGAACAGACATGGTTAATGTTCTACCTCAGAAAGCAAAAGATAATAATACAACAGACTTTTCAATAATCAAATGCGAATTAAGAGAAGAAATCTTAAATGCAAGACATTTAAATAATATATATAACTAAATGGAGTTGAAATATTGTATAAATCAATTACTAAATCAAATTTTTTCAATTGGGTTTTAAACAGAACAAATGAAATTTAGAAAATAAAACAAAACAAATCACACAAGAACACTAACATATATGTGGTTTGGCTATACTTTTTTTTTTTTTTTTTGCGAAAACAAAATGCTTTATTAACATGTGAAACAGAGTTACATCAATAAAAAGAAAAAATATTTCAAATTTCCTCATAGCAAACCTGACTAATTCCAATTAAGTTAGTACAAGAAGCATCGCGAAATCATATTCAATTACCTCCAAATCAAACAAGAAAAAAGAAGGCCAAGGTTGACTAAACCAAGACACAAAAAAAAAAAAAAAAAAAACCTTTTCCCTCTTTTTTTAATCTCTCCAAAAAAAATTGATAAAATGTGGAAAGAACACAAAAAAAAAAAAAAAAAAAAAAAAAAAAAAAACAGCCCCACTCCGGATCCCGAACACAACCCAAAAAAGCCACCGACCTTGCCACAAACTTGCTAGAAACAGGAAACCACCACAATTGCAAAGATTGTTAACAAGAATTTGATCTAATCTAATAACCCTAATCGTCCAAATAACTCATAATATATATATACTAAGATCTAAATACATCAAGAATCGGATTAGACCTAATGGGTCATAATCACGAACCGGTAAAATTGTTAGATACGATACATCACAACCCACGCTTCTTTTCTTATAAGGTCAGATCACATGTATACAACTCTAAATAATAAACAAGAAAGACAACAACTATGTACTAGAAAAAATACATAAAATAAAATAAAACAACATCAATAATAACATATTACAAAACAAGACTTGAATATTCATGCGTATATTATTCTAAGAATTCTTATAATAAATATGATTTATTTGGTCTTAACTAAATATGATTCAAATAAGGGAAAATTTTATTTTAACTCTCCTAAATACCCTGGATATGGATGATCCCAACACATGTGAGAATATGGGGGACCCTTCAAAGAGCAAACAATTTTGAAGGGAATGCCACTGCTAGAAATAGCAAACAAACAACATGAGACCCACAGAAAGTAGTTGCATGCTATCAAACACAATTGGGAGTGGGAGGCATGTTATCAAACACAATTAGAACAGTATTGACCCCCCTAAAGCGACACTATATGTGTTCATTTTCATATATATGTTTGTGTATATATGTGTGTTCATTTTCATTTGGAGTGAAGTATATTTGCCACATCAGAAATTTGCCGATTGAAATTCATTCTTTGACCAAAAAATTGTAACAAAGTGAAGATTATAGTTCCAACAAAGTGAAGATTGAGATTCAGTATTTGTTACAAACTGAGTTTTTAACAAATGGGTATTGGTAGGATTCCCACAATTATTATAGTTCCAATAAAGTGAAGATTCAGTCACAGAATCCAGCAAACATTCTACACCAATTTTTAATGAAAATTGGTAACTCAAAATTTTTTTTTCTTCTCAAGTTCATTTTTTTAAGTGTGCCCACATCAAGCAACATTTGAATATGGGCTGTATCTTTCCAATGTACCTAAAAAAAAAGGAATATGGACTGTACAATTCATTTATCTTTGAATGGAAGTTGCAAAAATGGTAACTCAAATCATTTATCATTGATTTGTAATTGTTTTTTAAAAGATTCTACTAATGTAATATGTTTCCTATAATTAACCAGTAATCACTTTTTTCATTCTTTTCATTTTTCTTTGATTAATGTATGATATTACAATCAAAACTAGCCATTGAAGCAACAAAAAAGGACCAAAAACAGTTTTAAAAACATGAACCTAAAAACAGTATTAAAAAAAAATATAAAATCTTTTTAAATCTGTTAAGGCCCCCCACCCACTTCTCTCAACCCATAAATCCTAAGCCTACATGAACCAGAAACCACAAACAAACACAAATCTTAATGGATTTGAACACAGAGCAATGAAAAACCAAGAAAACCCTAAATCGATGTGTATATCTAATATATGTATATCTATATATAACAAAACATAGGGTTTAGGGTTTCAAATCTTACTTTTTGGTGGAGATCAACGGAAAATAGGGACGATCACCGGCGATTTCGATGTGTGGAGTAGTCGGCAGCGAGAGGAGAGCGCCGTTTGAGATGAGAGGAGAAGAGAAGAGTTAGGTATGAGACAAAGAAGAATGGTTATATAGTGGCATTTTCGTTATTCCTTAAGTTTTGGAGGGACATTTAAGTAATTTTGTCCCTCAAAAAACAGGTGCCCGCTTAAGCTCTAAAATTAAGCACCCAAGAACAACTTTTACATTCAAGCCAAAAATGGCTTAAATTAAGTCATAATCTATACCTTATGGTCATGTTTGATTCACAATACTAATGGTGAGGTATTAATAATCCAATCAAATTAGTGTGGTATTAACTATCCCACCCCTACCCCATTACTAATAATCCTACAAATTTGTTGGATTAACCAAAATGTCAAAACAAACATAGGATGATTGGGCCCACGGATTAATAATCCTAATCCCATCCTTTAATCCTTCCAATCAAACATGCTCTATAAGTTTTACCAAACACACCAAAATAACTTAACTTAAGCCAAAAGTTTGTTTAAGTTGAAAAAAGGTTTTACCAAACACCCCATGGCTTGATAACTCTCCAACTTTATGTTTTTAGCTAGTGTTGAAGATGATCGGGCGATCTCTTTGGATCAACCTAGTTAGCATGGGCTTTGATGCTTTCGTATTCATGTAGGCTTGGAAGTTGTAATTTCTTTCATACATCAATAAAATTTTCCCCTTTTCTAATAAATAAATATAATAAAAAAAAAAGAAAAAAGAAGATAAATTACAAATGCACCCCACGAGGCTTGCTTAAAATACAAATTGTTTCGTGTGGTTCTGGAAATTACATCCCATCCTTTGACATTTCGAATTTCATAACAATTGACCCATTTTGTTTATAAATTATCAAATTGATTAACAGTTTTTAATGATATCAAAAATTTATTTCAATTAATAATTCAAGTAATTTTATTATTGAATAAGAGAACAGTTAGAAATTTTATTTTTTTAATTAATCTGTTAATTAAAAATTTTTAATAAGGGAGTATTTGTAATTTTTTAAATCACAAAAAATAATCCTTATTTTAAGTAAACCTTAGGGGTCATAATTGTTATTCTCACTCATGACCATTGCAACAACAATCAAATTGAACCAATATTCCTAGAAAAATCATCTTTACTTTGAAATTATGCGAACAAAAATAAATTTAGCTTTGTGGAAATGAAGTTATGATACAAACATTTTGTTAGTAACATAAAAGATTCCACTGATAATTGCAACTTTAAAACTCTATGTTCCAATATAGTATAGCAACAGGCACTAATACAATGGAAATTTTTTTTCTGTTCCCTCAAATTCAAGCACAATACTTGATTTAGGGAGGACTCCATTTCAAAATATTCACTAACTTTGTGCTGCCAAGTTCAAGACTGTAGAAATTTAATGTATAAAGAGAAACCTACCACTACCACCAAAACTGTCCCGACATTGATTCCGGTTAGCTCCTACAACAGTCTGACACCACCATACAGTGTCTCCACCAACGGTCTGACACGACCATACAGTGTCTCATATCCTCTTTTATTTTATGTATTAGTCTATTTTCTTATTTTGTTACTCTTTCCAAACTCAAGTTGATTTGTGTCTCTCCTCCTTGAGTTTGCGGGGGGCTGTTAAAACCTACCACTACCACCTACTCCACCTACTACACACCTATACCACTACCACCTACTACCACCTACTACCACCTACTCCACCTACTACACACCTACCTACTCTACTCTTCTATATATAGGCATCATTGTAAACATATTTAATATAAAGAGAAATGATTGTATTATTGATTATATTAAATATGTTTACAATGATGCCTATATATAGAAGAGTAGAGTAGGTAGGTGTATAGTAGGTGGAGTAGGTGGTAGTAGGTGGTAGTGGTAGGTTTTAACAGCCCCCCGCAAACTCAAGGAGGAGAGACACAAATCAACTTGAGTTTGGAAAGAGTAACAAAATAAGAAAATAGACTAATACATAAAATAAAAGAGGATAGGAGACACTGTATGGTCGTGTCAGACCGTTGATGAAGACACTGTATGGTGGTGTCAGACCGTTGTAGGAGCTAACCGGAATCAATGTTGGGACAGTTTATGGGGTCATGTCGGACCGTTGGAAAAGCTAACCGGAATCAATGTCGGGACAGTTTATGGGGTCATGCCGGACCGTTGTAAAAGTCGCACCCTCAAAAGGTGTGCCCAATCTTTCAAAAGGTGTGCCATCAAAAGGCGTACCCAATCCATAAAAAGGTGTGCCGAACATTATGGCGATGCGCGTGACTACCTTGGCTTGCGCGCCCATGTTGTCGTCTAGCGCCGAGCGGCGCACGATGCGCGTGTCGGCCTTGGCTATTTAACCAAGACGAAGGCTGAGGCTGAGGCAGAGGCTAAGACAAAAACCTGCTAAAAACCTCTGAAAAACTCTTCGTGTGCTGAGAGAGATACTCTGTAACACTCGGTTGTCCAGAAAATGGCCTCGTCTTCCCGTGGTCTGCTCACGCTCTTTCCAGACCTGAACGAGTCCACAAGAGAGATAACTGGTGTGGTTGCCCTGGAACCTCAACCAAGCGCCTCTGGTTTTGCTCCGTTGAACTTTCCGATGCGGTCTGTGGAGCAAAGAATGGCAGTGCAATCGGATGTTGAGGCCAATCAGTATACATTGAAGTCATGTGTGGAGACCATGACGGCAGTCACAAACTTGTCGCACCGGCTTCAGAGTAGGACAAATGAGGTGCAGCAGTTAAACGCCCAACTGGCTCTGCTCCAGCGCATGTATAAGGATGCGCGAGCAGAGATAAGTGTGCTAAAGGCGGAAAATAAGGAGCTGAAGCGGAAGGCCACCGTTATGTTCCGATTTGGAGGTCCGCCATATGCTGTAGTGGAGGAGCAGGGGGGAGGCAACTTGCTTGGTGGTCTAGGAAGCACGGAGGCTGGGCAGTCACGGGACACCCATGAGAAAAGCAAGAAGAAGAAACCGGCAGCAGAGTAGAGAAGGGAAAGAAAAATCCCGCCTGTGGGTGTGGTTGTTTGGGTTTTGGTTGTTTGTTCGTTAACGTGATAGGAGAAGAGAGAGGAGACAAGCCCATGTGATAAAGTGGAGAGAGAGAGTGTTGAGTTTGGAAAGAAAGAGTTAAAAAAAAATGGAGCATCTCTGCTGTGCTACCCCATCATCAGTCTCACACAACAAAGGAGGAGAGAGAAAGAAAGAACCCAAACCCACACAACCTTTCCCTTCTCTCTCATAGGGAAGGCCTCATCAGAAAACAAGTCTTCAACCCCTGGCTAACGTGCACCTTCTTCTCTAAGAAATTGGAAGCTCCAAGTCTCTCTAGATGGGAAAGGGGTCGAAGACTGGAGGGTACAAGTCTGCGTCGCACAGTATCTTCAAAGATAGGGCGAAGAATCGTGTGGATGATCTCCAAGGCATGTTCACGGATCTCCAATCGGCGAGAAAGGAGAGCCGTTCGATCGATGTGGCTATGCTTGAAGAGCAAGTTCATCAGATGCTTCGCGAATGGAAAGCTGAACTCAACGAACCCTCCCCAGCCTCTTCTTTGCAGGGTGGGAGTCTGGGTTCTTTTTCAGCTGACATTCAAAGACTGATGCAACTATGTGAGGAACAAGTATGATTTCACAGTGCAGACCAGTGGCGAAGATGTGACGTTGAAGACGAAGGTGGTTACGGCGGCGGTGACGGGGACGTTGGTGGATGAAAAGCCGTTGGTGGTGTATAAGATTGACAAGGTGTTGGAACCCAGTGAGTTGTTTAAGGCGGCGGCGGCAGCGGCGGTGCCAGCTCCGAAGGAGACGGCGCAAGCAGCGGCGCCGGGGCTGGATGCTCCAGCGGACACAGCGGCGGACCAAACCGCCAGTGATAGTGGGCGTGGAAGTAAAGGTATGTGTAGAAAATTCTAACGGACTAGGTTGAGGTCCGACGGGCGGCTAAGGTGAGGTTGCCGTCCGCCGAGGAAGCGAAAATACTAGGTTCTAAACCTGCTCTGATACCATGTAGAAATTTAATGTATAAAGAGAAATGATTGTATTATTGATTATATTAAATATGTTTATAATGATACCTATATATAGAAGAGTAGAGTAGGTAGGTGTGTAGTAGGTGGAGTAGGTGGTAGTAGGTGGTAGTGGTATAGGTGTGTAGTAGGTGGAGTAGGTGGTAGTAAGTGGCAGTGGTAAGTTTTGACAAAGACCAAACAAAAAAACATTAACATTAACATATATTACTAATCACAGAAAATAGAGACCTAGTTTCAGGAGTACATGTACAGAGAAAAAGAAAGGAATGGAAGCTCAATACCTTTATGCAAGTTAGTGCAGAAATGGCGAAATAAATCTGAAGCTCCAAGAGTGAGCTGGAAAATAAGCAAAAACATAGTCAATTTTAGGAAAACAAGCAATGGATTCATGTTCTGATATCATATATACAGATCTAATATCGCATATATATACAGATTTGAGTTCCTATATGAATACCTAAAACTTATAGGTCTCAATTACAAAAATTGCAATCAATTCAATGTTTAACTTCGTATACACACAAAATCATCAAAACTTTCTAGAGCAGAGTTAAAGAGGGAGAGCTCAATCAAGAGAGAGGCTAAGTTCGTTTATCGATACTAAGAGGTTGAGTTTGATCGGAGAGAATTCGATCTAGGGTATGAAAGCTAGAGAAAGAGTGAGGGAAAGAGACAAACGGTGAATGTCATGCCATTGCTATTTGCGTTTGTACATATAATGGTGTTAAGCAATTTAATTTCAAAATAGGTTTGAGTCTTGTGTGAAAATTTGTCATATGTGTATAAAAAATGGCATTTTAATAAACACCATAAAATAAATGCCGTAACAGCCTCTTTTCTTGTAGTGCTTGAAATAGAAATTGACAATTGAATATTGCAACACATGAGCTGCAATAATCAAGACATGACAAGAATTTCTTCATTATTTTTTAATTTTTTCCAATATTTCATTTTCAGTACAAGAATGCAAGGATTATGATGGAAACCAAAAAAATAAAATGGAGTCAAAATATAACACCAAACTGATAGTTTGATGATTTTACATATATATAATGCAAGGTCATACCATATGCAACATGGTGGTTATTTTCATTCGTTTGTTATGCTCTATATCATTGTGGATGGCATGAGGGGAAGTCTCCAAATAACACAAGATTTATGTGGAGTGGCAAGTTGGCCGAGAGAGAAATGTGAAATACATTGTTAGTGAAATAGAGTACCAAAGACTCAAAAAAACTCTCAATCAAGCAAAACTCAATTTACTATTATTATTATATTGGCATAAGCAAATACTTCATAAAGCTTTTGAAAGTGAGCCTCCTTATGCTAAATAAATGAGTGAGCTCAGTAATATACACAGAGGAACTTAAATATATGATGAGTACATCTTGATTTTCTTTCCTATTCACATAGAAAAAGGCAAAAATGAAAGAATAAAATAAAAAATGATGAGAATTTTGTGTTTGGGGATCTTGAAATTGTTAAGGGAAATGGAAAACAAAAATAAATAAAAGAACTGGAAGCTAATTTTTTCTCTTTTCTCTTTTCTATTTACAGAATATTCTATAAGTCAAAATCCAAACACGACCAAAGTGCACATGAAGTGGGAAACACATGCTATTAGACCAGGGACGGACTGAGGAAGAGACTGTCAGGGGCCACGGCCCCCCGCTTAAAAAAAAAAAATTTATTTATATATAATTGGAGCATCAAAATTCAATGGCAGCTGCTATATATAGCAATGGCAGCTTCAATAGCAAACTATTGGAGATGCTCTTAGATGGCCAGGAGGGCCATGTGTCTTTTTTTTTTTTTATTAAAAAAAGCCTAAGTAGAAGTAGAAAAAGACAAAAAGAAGAAAGAAAGAAAACCTAAGTGCTATAACCTCTTCTACGCCGTGATGCCGTCTCAATTTATTCAAAGCAAGCATAGGATTTTTTTGAGTTAAATCAACTTGGGATACATATATAAAAAAAAAAAAAAAATCTTGCTCCTGCCATTAATCTTCTCGTTATTGCAGGTATGTGATTCATATTCTCTTTTATTGTTGTTTTCAATTTGTAATACTTTTATTATCTTTTTTTTAATGTCATATTGATACAACTGTAATTTTTTTTTAATTTTACATATTAAGAAAAAAAATCATGAATTAGGACGCATGATTTCAATCACTAGGGTTTTTTTTAATCATATTTGGGCAAATTTAATTTTATTCAGATTAAGTGTTATTAATTCAAAATTAAAATGAATTGAGACTTGTATAAAATTTATGTGTTGAATCTGAATTCTGAATTTTTAAATTTATATGAAATTTGTTTTTATTACATTTGTTATTCTAGGCACAAAAATTTTCTATGTCCTGTGATATATATATATATATATGGTTTTATTTTTTACGTACTAATTTAATATTAAATTTTAGTTTACTTTTTGAATTCAAAAAAATAGTAATTTTTATCAATTCATATAAAAAAATTTATTTATGTCTTGACCCCTCCGCAAATGAATTCTTGGTTCTGTCCCTGTATTAGACAGAAAATAACACCACCGAACGAATCTCAAGGGTTAATAGCAGCAAAATCGGCTTCTCAACACGACATAGCTCGATCCTATAGTTTCGATTTTTTTGTTTTTTCATATCAATTTCGATGCTATTCAGAACTTAATACAATTTGGATCTATGCGAAGCTTTTTAATTGAGTACTTCTTGGTTGAATGATTAGTCAAGCAGTAGAATTTGTTGTAGGTTTGTCTTGTATTTTGTGACACTCATAGGTTTTTTTACATGTATTTGAGTTTGGATGTGGAATTTGCAATTCACGAAGAACCCGTGCAATTGTATAGGACTGTGATTTCTAAAGTTTCCCTAAAATAAGGAACTTAGACTATGTTTAGATGGCAGCTGTGAAGCACTGACACTTTAAAATAAATGTCGTATTCGTGTTAGATACATGGACACTTCGGAGACACGGGGACACGTATGGGACACATCACATGCCGTGTCCTCTTATTTAATTAATTTATTTTGGGGAGACACACTGAGAACACTTTGGGAACACACTTAGAACATGCCAAGTTATCTTTTTTCTCATTTTATTTAGTGTTTTTGATGAATGTTGAATGTTTATTATTTTTTTTTTAAATTTAAATACTTAATAGATCATCCATAAAAAAAGAAATAAACTAAACATATAAGCACATAAGCATTAAAAATACAGAAAAAAAAAATCAAATTTTTACATAAGTATTATAAAACTTTTCAATACAAGAAAAAAAAAATTTACATTATAAATTATCCACAATAATGCTTGTGAAAAAATAAAAACCAAACTTATAAGCACATAAGTATCAGGCACTAACAAGAAAGAGTAGTTCTCAAATAATATACTATTTAAATGACAAAATAAGAACAATT